GAGAGAGAGAGAGAGAGAGAGAGAGAGAGAGAGAGAGAGAGAGAGAGAGAGAGAGAGAGAGAGAGAGAGAGAGAGAGAGAGAGAGGAAGAGATCGAGAGACACCGAGATATCTGCAGGAGAAGCCACGACTCACCGGCCGACACGCCTCCTCCGTCAGAACCTCCTCTTCTTCCTCCGGCAGACACTCGGCGGCGTCGAAGTAGAACCACTGACGTATCGGCATGAACTTGCTCGTGCACGCCTTCATAACCTCCTGCGCCGCGATCCCTCCCACCACCGCCTGCATGGGCGCCACCCCGCCCGCCGCCAGGTGACTAAGCTGCCGCATGAGGGCGCCACTGAGCTCGTCGGCGCGTGCAGACGACGCCGCGTTCGTCTCCGCGGCGACGCGTTCGAACGTGTCGGCGTCGGCCTGCAGGGAGAAAGACGAACGAAGTGTGTTATCGCCGCGGCAACGCGACAGACGCTCGCGAGCGCGTAGCACGTATTACGTTATGTTACGTATTATACGTTACCTTTACGTATTATTTAAAAATTATGTGATATACGTATTTTATTTTACGTAATCCGGTGGCATCTGCCATCTATAACTCGATTACGCCGGCCATACACAGTGTTGACGGAAAACTTTTTGAGCCACGGCAAGTATTCTGTAAAATGTACATGCCCGAATGACATTCTAGTTGCCCATATATTTTGCAGGAATCTTTTTGAAATATCGAGTAAAAAAGTGTACACCAGACCTCTAGATGCCATTCGTTTTCGGTGTTAACATTTCATGCTTTTAAATAAAAAACCTTTAGTTTATGGCCAGTTGTATTATAGTTTATGCATTTTGAAAGCAGGAGCTTTAATTAATTTAATTACATTAAGGAGTCGGGCAAGTGAGCTTGCAATGTTTTCATGTCCGCCGAGATTTCTACACGTCTCTGACGTCGGACCGCTGGATGTATTTGAAGACTGCATACCTTGCTGCGAGGGGCGGGCAGCCGGCCATGCTGCTGCATGAACTTGTCGAGGGCTTGGAAGCCGATGTGAAGCTGCGCCGGCCGGTCAAACTTCGCAAAGTCTGAGATGACGAATTCCGGCGCGGCCAACGATTCCCGAAGCGACTTCTGCAGCCGGTGCCGGAGCGAGCGAGAACGAGAGAAATAACGAGTGAGACGACGATGACGATGGTGACGACGATGAGGATGGAGACGACGATGACGATGGTGACGACGACGATTTTTTTAAATTAAAGTTGTGTAAAAAAAGAGTGCGACTTATACACGAGTAAATACGGTGATTGCTCTACTTACGAATGAGACGGTGACGGGCATCTTGACCTGGGTCACGATTCCTCCACGCGTGTACTCCGACAACGACGACGTGTCACCGATGCTGAACGTGTACGGACCTGCGAGCGCGCGGACGAAGAACAAGTGAACGTCTCTCCCGCTGTCGCCTAGCGACCACGCGCATCCATGTTGAACGTCTTCAGTGCATGAATTGCACGTTTCCACACGTTCGCCTGGTTACTTGGTTGCCGCTAACAATCACTGCGCTCCTTCTTCTCCCCCTCCCCTCCCCTACCCTACCTCCTCCCTCCTCCTCCTACCTCCTCATTTCCTCCTCTTCCTCTCCCCCCTACCTCTCCTCCTCCTCCTCCTACACCCACTCCCTTCCTCCTCCTTCCTTCCCCCTCCTTCACCTCCTCCTCCTCTCCCTCTCCCTCCTACCTCTCCTCTTTTCTCTTCTTTTCCCCCTACTCTCCTCCTTCCTCTCCTCCACATCCTTCNAACTTCCTCATGACATTTATATTATGATGTTACACGTAGCTTTAGCATCTATGTTGTTTAAGTTACGTTTACGTTCTGTGGTGTGATTGTGATTAGCATATATATAAAGATTAGCATCTGTGTTATTTATCGTTAGTGCCTACATACCGATGTAGCTCTAACATCTGTGTTATTTATCTTACAGCTACGTATTAGCATCTATCGTGTATCACAGCTACGACCTTGTAGTGTAACATCTGTGTTATTTATGTTACAGCTACGTATTAGCATCTATCGTGTATCACAGCTACGACCTTGTAGTGTAACATCTGTGTTATTTATGTTACAGCTACATTCTGTGATGTGATAGCTAGCATCTATCTTGTGTTACAGCTACGTTCTGTGATGTGATAGCTAGCATCTATCTTGTGTTACAGCTACGTTCTGTGATGTGATAGCTAGCATCTATCTTGTGTTACAGCTACGTTCTCGGACATGAAGCCATGAAGAAGATGCAGGCTTCCAACGTGCTAGTCGCCGGCATGGGAAGCCTCGGCGTTGAGATTGCTAAGAACGTCATCCTGGCAGGCGTCAAGTCAGTCACCCTGCAGGATGAGGCCGTCGCCACATGGGCCGACCTCTCTGCGCAGGTACGTAGTACTCAGGGGTACCCAAGCCGACCTCTCTGGGCAGGTACGTAGTCGCAGGGGGACCCAAGCCGACCTCTCTGCGCAGGTACGTAGTACTCAGGGGGACGGTCGCCACGTGGGCCGACCTCTCTGCGCAGGTACGCACAAAGGGCTGTGACTAATGCTTCACCGCGAGAGCAGGCTACAGAAACAGTCGCGATAAAATAATCAACAAAAAATAAAATAAAATAAAATAGTGAAAATAGTACAAATAAATAAATAACATAATGAATGAAGTAAAATAAAATAAAATTAAATATCATAATAAATATATAATTCGACAGCGTGCGATTTCCGTAATACGATCTGGACTTCGCGCAAAGCCCCCCCCCCCGATTTTACGGCGAAATTCCCCGGTAGCGTCTACTAGCGCCACCAGTTGGTCGGAAGTTAAAACTACTGGGAATCTCGGATTCTCTCACCCAAAACTGTTTCAGGAAATGACTACCAATGCCCCCTGCTGTTCAAAACTTACAACTACGGGGACAATCTCAGATACCCTCTCACCTGAAACTACTGCAGGTGACTACTAACGCCACCTGTTGGTCAAAACTTACAACTACCGGGCAGATATTAAACACTAACCTGGAACTGTTGCAGGAAGTCGTCTGTGATGCTGCCCGTTTCCGCGGTGACGGGAACGTAGCTGTTTAGCTCTGCTAGTCTCGGCTGACACGTCTCGGCCCGGTTCTTCCCTAGGTCCTCCTCTCTCAGGAAGAACTGTGCGACGCGTCAAGGAGAAAGGGAGAAGTCAACACAAGCACGTGTCAGGAGACGACGTTTCGCTGGACCGGTTTCGCTGAGTAATGCGGATCCGGGGAAGTGTTGGGGTTGTGAACTGTAGACTATTAGTATTTACTTATTATGCGCATCTTGTAGTGACGTTGCTTTCCCTGTGGTCAGGTAGAATAAGGCCGATGTTTGCACGACCTCGCTAATGCGCGTTTCTTCTTGTTGCCACCAGGTGGTGGTGTTGACGGAGTCGTCGTTGGCTGAACAGCTGCGTATCGGTGATTACACGCACCCGAACGGCATCAAGCTGATCGTGGCAAGCACCAAGGGACTGTTCGGGTGAGTCGGCATGCTTTTATCTCTCTCGCTCTC